TTCTAGTTGTGTCCTCTTTTGGAAGGCCAAACAAAGTAGTTTCGCTTTCACAACGAAACACACAGCGTCTCCACGACATGGCGGCAACAACAATACTACAACGAGAATCAAAGTTACGCCTTATTTCTTTGCGTGAACATTTTGGCGGTGTTATGCAAATCTTCCCACATCGTGACGTAGACATGTGGGGGCGTGTTTAAACGAGGCGTTTTAGGAGGGCGTGGACGAGTCTTAACTTTTATAAAGAATATCTCTTTGGGTTTGAGACTTTAGTCTTTGCAACTTCAGGGATCTTATCTATTCACGAACAGCTTGTAACACTCTCCAAAGAGAAAGGAAAACTTGAAATCGCATCATATGACCCCTTTAATTCCTGAATGAATCAGCCGTTTGAACGAATCAAATGAATGACTCAATGACTTATTCATTTACTGCCACCTACTGGAAAATGTAGCTTCTTATTTCTAGAGTATCAGTTCATAAAAAAATGACTTCATATTTACATATTAATAAAAAAATCCATATTAATAAAAACTTATTAAAGGGATAGTTTACTCAAAAAAGAAAAAAAAAGAAAAAAAATTCTAAAGCTACTTTTTGTAATATCTATTTCATGCTTTTCTCATGTAATACAAAACTGGCTTTAAGTTATTTTTGTGGGTAATTTCTCAGCCAAATTTAATTTGCAATATTCAATTAATTAGATGAATTAATCACCACATTGTGTAATTAGATCAAAAAAATTTATCGACTGACAGCCCCAATTTTTTGACAATGTAAATGTCTTAACTGTCATGTTTGACCAATTAAATGCATCATTGCTGAATAAAAATATTCATGTTTAAAAACTCTTACTGAACTGAAACTTGGATGGCAGTGCATAAACAGTACATATGTTTTCAATAAGCCTTACTTATTTCTCAAAAATGTGCATTATAGCTCAAACCAAAAAAAAAAAAAACATCTGGCTAACGTGAGGTTTTAACCACAATCATGTGTAGCTTAAGCCTATATAGAGCATGTTTATAAATAAAGAGTTTTGATTGTTGTACCTCTTGGATAAGGTCACGTTCAGTATTTTGTATTGCTAGCAGGTAAAGCTATCAATGTTGGCACTACGACGGGTGCTGACAAATCAACACTGGCTTCGGGAGGTTTTTAACACCCTATTAAAAATGCTCTGCAGGGAAACAGCGTAATCCATTTCCTTGACAACAGTTGGGAAGGAAACACATTTTAAAAAAATTATATAGCTAAAATACTCTGTACTCTTCAAGTACAGAGTACAAATACTCTTCTTTTCTCTCTGCTGTTGCCTCGGCAACCACAGCAATGGACGCAGGTCAGAGCTGGGGGAGGGTAATCAGCATGAGCAACTAAACACACGCAAAACGACTCATTACACTCACAAACGTACGCATGAGCATCCGATTCAGTCACACAATGTATAAGATTTAGTCAAAACGCCATTATCCATCAGCTCAGTGCAGTTTATGCTTGCATGTGGACTACAGTTCCCACAAGTCTGTGGCTCACCTGTAAACGTCACCTGCTTTAGTAACTGAATCTCACTGATATCTGCACTATGACAGTCATTTAGAATGAATACGTCCTTATGAAAAGCAACAGATCTTTTTAGCAAAGCAGCAGTAGTTGTGAAATAATTTCTTTTGGTAGAGCCACAGTCTGCAACAAATAAATTAGAAGTCTAAAAGCATAGAGCTACACACAACGCAAGAGAACAAAACAGATTACATTGACTCACTGTACCTGCTCAAAGACATTGTTCTAGAAGCTTGCAGGGTGAAAATGAGTGATCTTAAAAGTATATTAATAATATGAAGCTCACATAGGCCTTTCTGAATATTGTACACAGCAAAACAACAATTTCATTAATCAGTATTTGTGTCTTGTATTCAAATCTTAGACTTAATTAATTTACTTAATTCAAGACATATTCTTGGAAATTAGGTTTTCTTACCCCTCTGGCAATTTTTTTCCCCCCACTAAATTTTGTTAGATTTACACTTACAGTAAAACAGTTTGCCAATGGAGTATAAAATATTCAGGATATATTATCTAAAAACAAGCCTTAATATCAACAATAAATAATGCAAATTTGACTCTCAAGTAAATTGATGTGGGTTTAAGCACATTTAGACATTTCTACTATAAAACAAGACTAAAATAGTGATTAAGAAAATTATTTTTGCAGTGTACTGTTTGTTTTACACTAGCCACTGTGTGAGCATAGGAAACATGCTAAAGTGAGTTAATGGGTCACTCATGATGACTTGTGTGGTTTTTAGTGCACTTTCAGTTCATCATTGCACTTCCCTGCAGAAAAATGGCATAAGCTGATCAACAACATGGTTTCTTAACTAGCTTAACTAGATTTCCTTTAAACTAATAAACATATAGCAGCTTTGATCAACTCTTCCCGGAAACAACATCCTCCAACTTGCCCCTTCATCTCTACAGGTGCAGCTCCTAAACAACCATGATTGTTTTGGTAGTTGAAAATGGATTCCCTTAACAATTTCTCCGCCAAACCTACACTAACACAAACCAGGCAAATGCATTCATGCATCGGAATGCATTCATGCTTCTGAACACACCCACGGTGGACATGTTTTTTGCATTGTCAGAGAAGTGACGTTGACCACGTGTTGGAATAGAATGTATTAATGAGTACCCATGCAGCACTGCACAAACAACAAAAGCACTATTTATACACTCTAAAAAATGCTGGCTTGTTTCAACCCAACTTTGGGTCAAATATGGACTAACCCAGCTGTTGAGTTAAATATTTTAACCTAAAAGCTGGGTTAGTCCATATTTTACCCAAAGTTAGGTTGAAACAACCCAGCATTTTTTAGAGTGTAAGATAATATTTATAACAACATAAGGTAATCATGAAACATATTGTGTTTAATTTTAAAAACACACATTTAAATTCCTATCATATATTCTTCATTTCTATAATATATTTTTGTTCAATTTCTATTTTCCTATTATATGGCTCTTTTACAGAACATCCAGTTACTAAACTTCTACAATCTTCCAAACTAGAAATGTTAGATCAAATATTTATAATGAAAATGTATAATTAACTAAATATCTTTGCTTTCCAAAGTTCCTGAGTTTCCAAAGTGCTGATATTGGAGTACAGACAGGAAACATACAGGCCAGGCAGTACTTTAGATTCACATGTGAAACATCACAATATTCAAGTAAATATCATAGCGTGATGTAACAGGAGACCAGTAAATTAAGATACTGAGAACTCAAGCAGAGCAGATCTCACATAATCACAAAACAGCTCACCTGAGAACAAACAGAAAACGACAAACACTCAAGTACACATGCAAACCCACACCACCCACAACAAGCAACTGATGACTAAAAAAAAAAAGAAAAAAGACATGCTCAGAAAACTGCACACTCAGAAAACTGGCCGCAGGGAAAGACAGAGATGGAAGTGTGAAGGAGACACTCACCATAAACTGAACGTTGTCGAAGCCGTTAGACAGCAGGTGGTTTTCATACTGCACGAGACCGATGTTGTCCAGCCACTGTCCCACGGACTGGACGGGGCAGCGGGGACCTATCAAGGGGTGCAGAGGGAGGCGTTTGAGAAGTGAGTAGCCATCCACCCGGTAGCAGCGACAGTCCGGCTGTGAGAGCTGGCACTGCCACATCATGTTCCGTGCAAAGTGACTGTCAAACGAACCCGCCATGCTCAACAAGCGACGGAGAGCACGAATGGAAACGGGAGAGGCAGAAAGAGCGAGAAAAAGGAGGTAGAAAAGTGATTTCAAAGAAAAGAAGAAAGTAATGTTTAGAAAATAGTTGAAAAAGGGAGAAAACAGAAAGAGAGCAAATTAGAAGAGGGTCCTCTCTGGAGAGTGAGCGTTAGGGTCCGCGCTGGTGGAGAAATACGCCGGCTGTGGAGATAGACATGCTGAAGGCTCCAAATTACATCCACAATAGAAGCGAGAGAGATGCACAATTACCAACCACCGCTTCAGCCGCTGTGCTGCTCAACCTGTGTCTCAATGTGTGGAGAGTGCAGGCATGTGTGTGTGCGCGTTTGCGCATGCGGGAGGGAACGAGCGAGTGTGCGTTTGCGAAAGAGGATAGGAATGACAGCGTGCAGCTTGCTTGGTAGAATTCTGTTTCTCCAGCACTCCCACACTCATTTGTATGCCTCTGCATCCTGTGCCACTGTGCACTCTCTCTCCCTCCCTCTCGGTCTCTCTTTCTCCCTCCCTTCTTTCCACTAGCTGTACCTCACATTGCCGATAATAGCCATCAGATCAACCCCAGCCTCTTTGTCTGAGTGCAGAAGCTGCTGTTGCTCCCTCCCACACGTACACGTACACACACACACACACACACACACACACACACACACACACACACTCTGTGGGCGTATGTGAGC